GAAGGGGTGTCTAGAAACCATTCTTTTTGCATAAAGGCCTGTTGGGAGACTTTTGTATGTGAACAAATAACCTTGGTAAGTCAAATACATCTTGAGCAATATGAAAGAAATGTAAGTTTCTCTTTTTTACTGGTCCTAGAGGAAGCTTAACTGTCATGGTCACCAATGTTTTCTGACTATAAACATGCTAAATCCAGCAGGACTGAATATGCAGCAAATAGCTGCCTTTTTTGTATTTAGAAAATCTTCACTTCATATTCTGTCTGTATCCTTGTCTCATACTTAGAATTTAAGCTCTTTGAGGTAGGGTCAGTCTTCTTTTTGTATAGTACCTAGCACAGTAGGGTCCTGGTTCATGACTGGAGTTCCTAGGTGCTACCACAGTGCAAATAATTAATAGAAAATAAATTTAAAGATTTGATATATGAGCAAAGTTTTGATAGGTGAAGTCTTGTACGAGGGTTGCAGACTGAAAACTACAGTACAGGATTTCAGTTCTGAAGATTTCATGGTATGCTGCTGCAGAGCTAATTATAAGCTGCTGCTTGGCAACGTCTGTAAACATCTTGTCACAGCTTTTGCCTGATCAGGACTGGTGCCCACAACTCTGCCCAGAATGAGATGACTAACGCAGCTGCAAGTTCTGCTCCTCCCGCAGTGAGTCATCATCACATTCAAGTTTCTCTGCTTAAAACTTAAAAAAAGAAGTTTTTGCAGAGGTATAAAGGGAACAGAGATTTAAGAGGAATAAAAAAGTTTTCACTTTCTCCTGTGCTGCTTGTTAGTAAATTGTTTTTCTTTTTTGGTTCTAGCTGTTTGTGACATTCACTATTTGGGGGGGGGGGAAAAAAGACTGTCAGAATGTGGGATATGCAGTAGATGTTTTTAGTCTTGGATCACTGTATGTTGACAGGAGGCAAATAACTGAATTGGAAACAAATGCCAGTGAGCTCAGAACAGCAGTTCCTAGGTTTAAACTTCAAATAAAAATAAAATTGTGCAAAATACTTTAAAGTGTTGCTTTTACTAATTGCATATGTGCAGACCTACCTACCATGGCATTAGTCCCTCATGGCTGAGTAGCAGATATTCCCATCCTTCTTATAGGTCCACTGAAGGAGGGGGAAAAATGGAATTATTGGTGGGGTATAGAACTTAGCCAATTAGTTCATTTTATCATCCATTTATCATTGTGTTATTTGGCGTTATGGTTAATTCATATGCTATTTCATAGATAGTCAATGTATGCTAAATAGATTTAAATTGTAGGATAATAGAAGTGTAAGACTGAGAATTACACCTCTACCCCGATATAACGCGACCCGATATAACACGAATTCTGATATAACGCGGTAAAGCAGTGCTCCGGGGGGGCGGGGCTGCGCACTCCGGCGGATCAAAGCAAGTTTGATATAATGCGGTTTCACCTATAACGCGGTAAGATTTTTTGGCTCCCGATGACAGTGTTATATTGAGGTAGAGGTGTATTTAGGAGTGATGAATGTGTGTTAGGTATACAAGTAAAGCATGGCAGGAATACAAGACCTATAAACTGAGACCTGTAAATTTTTAGCTTAGTCATACTAGGCCAGGTTTAAGAATGCTTGACATTAGTGGGTGATCTAGGAATAATCTTATGCCAGGAAGGTCACAAGATCACTATAAAAGATGTGCTCGATGTTACAAAAAACTAGATTGCAATACACTGCAGGGTATTGTTCAAGATCATGAGACACCGGATTGTTAGATCATGGAATGTCCTGTCGTGACCGCAGCATACATGTTGTGCATAGATGCTAATAAGAATAAGCGAAAGTAAGAAACAGCCTATGACAAATGGGGCACTCCAATATTCATGGGGTATAAGGAAAACCCTCATGCATCTGCATAAGGTGTTGGGTGTGATCAGAATAACAATATAAAAGAGGTTCCCTGGTTGGGTAAAAGTGGGGAGACTCCCACCGGAAACCCCAGCAGGAACCATCCTTCTATTGACAATAATCTGTTGAGAGGTTCATCGGGGACCCTAGGATATCTTTGAGGATGTGAGTATGACTACAGCCTTAGTCATTGCATGGGTTTTTGTAGGATTTATGTATGTATGGGTAATTGTAACTTTATTGCTTTAATAAAACTTGTAGTACAGATAAGACTTTAAACTTGTGATTGTGTTTCTGGTCACGATCCTTGGACTTTGTGTGTTCCTGGAGTCTCCAAATTTGAGAAAAACACCAGAGGTGATTTTCACGCCATTGAGCTTGAAACTGTAGCAACAGCAGCTGAACTCATGGTAGCTTAATACAAAATTACTAAATTCAATTTAAATTTAAAAAAAGCTACAGGAGAATAGGAGTGGTATTAAATATAACTATAGGGAATTGTGCAACCTGCTTGGGACAAGCTGTTTTACCCTCTGTGGAGATGCATCATAATACATCCTCAATCTCAGCCTGTATTCTTGCTCACGACCAAAGCAGGATCTCCTCTAAATCAGTTGTCTCATGCCAGCTTCTGCAGTGGAATGTAGTTACCACTAGCTCTAGCTGTCATTTCCTTTCCCACCCCGTTCAGTGAAGAAGCTTCCATGAGTCACAGCAACAGAGTTCCATTTCAATGTCTGGCCCTCTTCAGTGGCCTTCAATTCATCAGCCCTTCAAAGCTTCATATTTGCTCAGAAATAGCTTTTGCCTACCTAGTGCTTCAAATGTTATATTTTTAAATTTATTTTCCCAGCTATCTCCAGCAATTGGCATAGCCTGTGTCAGTCAGGGCATCAAGGCTGGCAGCTTCTGCTCTGTTAGAGGGGCTAGGTTTTTTCCCCCTAGCTTTCTGCTCATATGCTTGAGAACACTTGCAACTCATGGATTTGTATATTGTGTGTATGGAGAGGAGGTAGCACAGCAGTTTCAAAAAGTGCTCTAATGCTGCACTATGCCTCTCATAGACAGACATAATTGATGCATTCTTGATCCCTTATGGTTTCCAGTGCTAGTTGCTTCAGAGGAAATTCCATGAAATGCTATCCATGGACAATTATAAAATAACCTTTTTTTCCTCCATTTGTGCTGGGAAAGAAGCTTGCAATCTTCTCCTTAGTATCTGAACCTCATCCCAGTCATTCATAACTCTCAGCTCAGAATTGGATTATTGCAGTGCATTCACCACTGGGGCCAGATTTTCATTTTGAAAAAAGTTTGACATCTGGGGATCCTGAGCTATTGAAAATCTGGCCCTAAACAGGACTATATCTGAAGACCTCTCAGTAACTTCAGTCAGTACAAGATAAGACTTCCTGCTTTAAGTGGTTACCCAGAGCATATCATACATGCCCAGCAGTCAAAAAGAGGCTTCAGTCTTATTTGTGGGTGATGTTTACAAGTGAAAACGATAAAACCTTAGCATTACAGTACTTTTTTGGATCTTGGCTCTCTTAGACTGTGTCTCCCCCTCGTGGGCGAACCACCGCAGAGGCAATGAGCTGAGATGCTCAAACGAACAGTTCCTTTGTGTTAAATGTCAGGTGATGGCGGAGGCAGGGAGCTACCAGTGAATAGTCCTCTTCTCTGCAATTGGTATCTCCCCTCCAAATATACCTTTTACTCCACCAAAGCCTAGATTTAATTTAACTATTCCTCATGTGATGCTTTTTGTGCTTCACATAAAGTGTTTTAAGTTTTTTGCCTGTCTGGGTTAGGTCCCATTTTCTGGCTATTTTGACTTTCTGCGTGCCCATTGGAAACAGGCCAGTTTATCTGCAGACCCTAAATGGAAGAGATTCTCTTTGCAAGATGGATAAGCTTCAGCCTTTGTAATCCACTTTTATGCTGAATTCCTAAGATGGTATGGATGCATCTTGCATACCTTTCTAAGGTGGTGTGAGTTCCTGCCGAATCATTCTGGCAATATGTCTCATGTGCACGCCCACTCCTATGAAGTAGTTTTTCCATGAGCTGGGTGTTTAAAAGGTCCCATAGCATTTTTCAGGAGTGGAGTAAAGGAAAGTGGGTAGTGAGAAGATCCTCTCCTCTCTCTGCCTCTCACCCCTGTGGAGACTTGGAATACCTGCCTTGGCTGTGCAAGAGCCCAGCCACAAACCCAGTGCATTCATTATGATGGTTATCTTCAGAGAGCAACTACAATTAAGAGCTTTTTTCTTCCACCCCTTCAGATTGCCTATTTTTGTCTGTTTCAAATGTCTTCTGTTCTAAGGCTACATCTGCACTAGGAGCTGGGGGTGTGATTTCCAGCTTGCATAGACATACTCGTGCTAGCTCTCATCAAGCTAGCATGCTAAAAATAGTAGCCTAGCTGCGATAGCACGACAGCAGGGAGTGGTGCGCCAAGTACATACTCCCAGGGTCCAGGGCAGCTAGCCTATGCCACTCCTTGCCGCTGTCTGTGCTATCGCGGCTACACTACTACAGTAGAACTTCAGAGTTACAAACACCGGAGTTGTCTCTCGCTCCCCCAGTCCCTGCTCACAGCACTGCTCTGTCCAGGATGCTGGCAGTTCTCTCAGCCCTCCAGAGACACAGTCCTTCCTCCCAGGGCTCCCAGCAGAGAACTGCCCTCCTCTGCCCTGCAGCTCCCTTTTGATATGGGCCTGCTTGGCCCTGATGGGCTGCTCCCTTCAGCCCTTCTCTGATTGGCTGCCTCTGGCACAACTTCCCTAGGTTGACTTTAAACCCTTTTCTGCCAGTGATGGGTTGTCTGCCCCTCACGGGGAAGAATGCATTTACTCCATGGAGGACTGTCTGACCTTACTGAGATTGTCTGCAGATAGGGCCCTTATAATAATCCCATATCCCTTCTCTTCTAAAGGAGTGTTTTGGGGGGAAGCACTTTTGCTTCCTGCCCACGGTATTGAGAAACTCCCTCTATTTTAGCTGCATGTGGGGCAACATTGATCAGGATCAGAATGGCGTATTTCAGAGTGAGAAAGGTCTCTCCTCATTCTGCTGCTAATTTCTGGCTTTTTTTGTGTGTGTGTGTGTTGATAGGTGAAGACGACTTTAACTTAGAAGATGCATTAGGCCCCGGTAAGTAATATGTTCTTGCAAAAATCCCTTCTTGTGCGATTTTTCTATATATAGTGTTTAGCGTTAATGTTAAAACATAATTTAAATGCTTAGGACCAGATTCTGACATCCATACTGAACATGCGTAACACCTTTCTCCATGAGTAGCTGTATTAACTTCTCTGGCACAATTTAAGGTATAAGGTGCTAGTTAGTATGACTAAGAGTGTACCAGAACCTGGACCACATAGAAGTAGAGCAACCTGCCTGGTGGCAATACTTCAGTGTTTAAGGGCAAATCATACAACTGTAGAAGACTTGAAAAATTATTGGTCTAATACTTTCACTTATTTTAAAAGGAAGTCTGTTTAAACTTGTTCTTTAAGTATCTTTGTGCAATGTATTCATCATCAACGTTTCAATTTGTATTAACGTCTATGTCCTTGACATACCAGAGCCTACAAAGAAGCCTGGTTCAGCTACCAAAAAGCCGGAGTTGGGTGAGTAGTGATTAAGTTGGCACATAATGCATCTTACGGTAAATGCTTTATTGTGATTTTAGATGTGTACTTACTGACAAAGAATCATGGTTACACATTGCTGTATATCTGAGATAAATTATCCCAATGTGTCTATTTTTTTTTTTTAAGTGCACATTTCAGGCCTCTTTGGGGACAAGCTGAGGATCAAATAATAGAACCAAGCTGTCTTTAATAATACAGTGACTCCTCACTTAACGTCGTCCCAGTTAACATTGTTTCGTTGTTACGTCGCTGATCTATTAAAGAACATGCTCGTTTAAAGTTGCGCAATGCTCCCTTATAATGTTTGGCAGCCGCCTGCTTTGTCCACTGCTTGCAGGAAGAGCAGCCCATTGGAGCTAGCTGGTGGGGGCTTGGAACCAGGATGGACCGGAAACCCCCCATCAGCTTCCCTAAGTTCCCTGTGTGGCAGCCGCCCAGCAGACAATCAGTTGCCGGGCAGTTCAGGTGTCCCACCCCCCACTTCCATGTGCTGCTCCCGCCCTCTGTCTTGAAGCTGCTCCCAGGATCCTCCTGCTTGCTGTGCAGGGAGTGGGGGGGGAAAAGGGGGGCTAATGTCAGGGAGTCCCCCTCCCCCCGCTCCTGTACCCCATCTCCACAAAGCAGGGGCGGGGGACACCACAGGGCTCAGGACAGAGGAAACTGCTGTCTCAACTTGCTGATCTACTTAAAAAGGCAGTGTACTTAGAATGGTGTCAACGTACTTAAAGGTGCAATGCGTGTCTCACTCTCTCTCTCTCTCTCACACACACACACACACACACACACACACACAGAGAGTGTGTGTCTCTGTCTGTCTCTCTCTCTCACACACACATGCACCCCCCAGCACTTTGGAAAGTAGAGGGAGTGGTGCGCTCCAGTGGGATAGCGTGGGTTCATCATCATGTTCCGTTTCCACAGGCAATGTTTGCAGGCATTGCCATGCGTCTATTGTGTCTCCTCCCTCCATTTGTGCTGCCTTGTAGAGTGTGAGGCTACATTAACAACAATGTGTTAACCCTTGAGGGCTCAGCCGAGTGCTAGTTCATCATTTAGCAGTAAAGTATTCCCTGGGAAATATCCCACCCACTTCCACCCTCTGACTCCACCACCTCAACCAAGCTTCACAATCATCATTGCTGTGTACAGTATTAAATTGTTTGTTTAAAACTTACACTGTGTGTGCGTGTGTGTGTGAGTGTATAAATATATATATGAAATTTTTTTCTCTGAAACCTAACCCCCCCATTTACATTAATTCTTATGGGGAAATTGGTTTCGCTTAACATCGTTTCGCTTAAAAGTAGCATTTTTCAGGAACATAATTACACGTTAAGCGAGGAGTTACTGTAATAATGATTTTTTTAGGCTTTAGGCAGTGGCATGGCAAAACTGAGTTATTGGCTGGCAAATCTTTTGGTGATGTCATACATACCTCAGTCTGCAGGGAACACATTTGTCTCTGACATTTGCTGAACCACCACATTGAAATTGTATTTTACTATATCTCAGGGTTAAATTGTGGCTTAACTAGCATGGTGGAATAAGAGCATAAGGACACCCTATCACCTTTTTGCTGGCTACATGCATTGCAGATAGTAGGGAAAGCAGGCTACACAAAGCTACTACTTCTCCCCCCTAACAAAGGTGGGTGAGAGGGGCAGAATATAGGCTTCACCCTCTCAACCTGCTTGGTGGCATAGCTGTGCTGGGGATATATGCTGCAACAAATACAGTGCAGTTACTGCCTCCCTGGAGTCAAGGGGGAAACCAGGAGGAGGGATACTGAGACTGAGTCACAATCTCCCTCTTTTGCTTCTTTGGGGGCAGTGCAACAACACGCTGTCCCTTGCTCAGGACTAGATGTTAGTCATGATCTAGTCCATAATCAGGAAAACAATAATTAGAGCCTTCAGAATGTGCATTTAGATTTATCAGTGAAGTAAAAAAAACTCCATTAAAAGCAGTCTCTTAAAAACAAATGCACATGCAGCCTCATTGGGGTTTTGTACTAGCTAGTAAAATGGGACGAGCAGGATGGTCACAGCCCTAAGATTTGCTCGCAACCCATGAATTAGACTATAACAATGCATAATAAATATGTAGCTCTTGTATAGCACTTGTCATCAGTAGACCTCAAAAGTGCCTTGCGAAGGACATCTGTGTCATTATCCCCATTCTACAGATGGGGAAGCTGAGAGCTTGCTAAGCACTTTGAGGTCTACTCATGAAAAATGCTATATAAGAGCTGGGTATTATTATTCTGAGTTGTTAGAGCCTAGTACATCGGTTGCGGGCAAACCTTGTGGCTGTGACCACCCTGCTCATCCCATTTTGCTAAATGGAAGGGGGATCCTCAGAGGTAAGTAGGGAATCCTACTAAGTAGAACCATGGAATGTTAACCTGTATATTTTGTATACTGAAGCCTTCATAATTAGAGTGTCCTGCAGTGGGCCCTGGGGGTTGCCTGGGCAGAGCTCATTGCAAGATCAGGTCTAAAAGATATCCAAGGAACAACTTCATGGCTTTTTAAAATAGGGGTGATGATGGCATTAGATTGAGGTGAGTTAGAGCTTGTAGGACTACTGGAAGAAGTGAATATCAAGAGGGATTTGATTAAAGTGAGGTCAGTGCCACGCACAGAAATTGATGTAGTAGAATTTGGTATTGAGGATCCATGAGTTTCTGCTGTTGAGTTAGAGGCCTCGTTTGAGTGCATTAATGGCTTTGGGTTTTTTTGTTTTTCCAAATGTCTTTTGATTAGTTGGCTTTGGGGATGTTTCATCACCTTATTTTCACTAGATAGCACTAATTGACTAATATACCATTCCTAGAAGTGGTTGTAATTTGAAAATATTACCTTTCTAATCACTCCCTAGAAAGAAGGGGGGGGGGGGATAATATGCTCTTTATGCCAGGAAGTGGGAGTCTGTTGTCAGAAAGGAAGCCTTTCCCTTTCCTCTGGGATAATCTCTTTGCAAAGTCTATAATGTATTTCAGCTAAGTCACATGAGCAAACTGCAATATCCTTGCCACACTCTCACTAGTGAAGTGGAACATAGTTTGGCAGGTAGTGTCTGTTAACTCTTTAAATTGCTGAACAACACCCGTAAAAGCTGGTATCACACTAGCATTACTGTGCTTCAGCATTACTGGCAACTGTTGGGAAGGGGGAAGCTTGTCTGTGGGAACTAACAAGGGCACAGAATTCCAGAACTGTAACAATGTTTGTTCCTTTAGTTCATTTAGTCATAGAAGAGGCATGGTGTTATACAAGGCCATGAATGCCTCTGTTAGAAGGATCTTGGTCAATTATATGCAAGTATTGAAATCTGTAAAGTTATTGCCTGGTTAGGATGCAGGCTCTTTATGTGAAAAGTTGCTCAGGTTATACATCATGGTTTTCTAGGACATTGGATACACTTGTGACTTTAAATCTTTAATTATCACTACATCAAAATGCTCAACCTTACTGTTCAAATTTCATGACATTTTAGGGCATTGGAGTGGCAAAGTAAATCACCATATTTATTTGTTTCCTTTTTTCTTTTACTGTTTCTTGTAAATGAAAAAAAAAAGTCTTCATTTTTATAGAATTGCCAGTCAGAACAGATGAACTGGTGGCCTTTATTAGTTAATTGCATGTTTGTAGAATCAACTGTGTGTGTAAGTTGTATGCATAGTACACACTCCATGTGCATTTATTGCTGTGTGTATATATAAATAAAATGAGATGAGGTTGTCTTGGGGTCTTGCTAATTTTAAATGTTCATAACTAGAATGAACTCAAAATGAACCGATTTTCTTCTTCACATGGATTGATTTTTTTTTTTTTGAGACTGAGACCTACAAAGCTGCCAGTCTGAAATAAATTCAGTTCCATAGTCTTAAAGTTGATGCATACATGCTAGCTACCTAGTTTTAAAAATTCCACGTTAGTGCCCAGGCCTGCTCCCCATTCTATTCAATAGGAGTTTTGCTATTGACTTCAGTGGGAGCGGGAGCAGGCCCTAAACTTCAGACACACAAATCGAAATGAGGTGTGATAGTTGGAAATAGAAGGGTTCTCAAGAGATTCTTATTTACAATCTTGAACACAGTGGATGAAGTCAGCTGCCATAATATTGGTAAACATAAGTTATGGAGGGGCTTTTGGGGGGTGAGGGGAGGAAGACAAAGAAACATGGGAAAGGTGGGTATAGATTATTCAGCTTGTTTCTGCACTTTACTCATTTGCAATTTTAACTCTTTTTCCCCCTAACAATATTTGTCAATAGATGACCACCCAAAA